GTTCTGGACATGCGCACACTATTCATTCGTAAATGCATTGCGATTAAAGATGAGCAAGCATACAATATACATAAAGCCCATAGCGACTGTTCATTATCTTAAATTGCATTTTTGAAATTCACTCGTTTCCGTCTTGTGTGTTGTCGCTAATAAATTCAAGATGCGTGCAAATGCGAATGTGTACAAAGCGATCGATACGCGTGTGGGTGTGGGTGTTGAGTGGGGGTGAGTATGTGTGGATATATGTGAGCAGAAGAGCCACATACACACCCTCTAGTGTGAATTTTCTCCGTAACGAGATCCACATCGGCCACTCACGACCACAGACACGCTGACAACCATATTCACACCCACACCCTCTCTTCAGTTGAGGGAATAGCTTGGTACTGTTTACTAGAAGCCCATGTGGATATTGACTCAACACCAACTTCCCCTACATTTGGACGATATTTATTTATTTGTATGGCGTTTATTTACGATGTAATGCACGAACCACCGCGGTGGTGTACATTAAAAGCTTTCTGGCATTCAATACATTTCTTAATGAATTTCGTTCGCATTTCTGAAACGTTCTTGTATTCATTGCACAGAGAGACACAGTTTGTATGCTCGAATGTTTCTTGTCTCAGACATCCCATATAGAAGATGCCTTGTTGGAAGTAGTCTCTGAGTTTATTCTTGATGATTCGATCATCCATGAAAAATGTCTCGTGAAGTGTTTCTCGGTCGTCTTGGTTCATGTGTTCACAATTTGTTGCAATGATGGCCATATACTGTGATAAATCTGGAAAGCGCTTTTTTGTGTATATCATCGCCTTAAGGTCTTCCTCATTAATTCCACCAGCAGCTACATTGATTACATAAGCGAACAGATGAATATTGGTGACATCTTTTTTTATGCAATTAACAATGAAGTTTGAAATCTCGTCGTTTGAGAGTTCTCGATTGGCAGTCGTTGTTTCTTCAGATCCCGTCGTAAAAGCATTGTTTTCGTTTGCTTGATATTCTGTTTCGACATGCTGTTCTAGATTCATTATTTCTACATTCGAAGCTTGCATCGGAACGGCGTTCCTTCCTCAAATATAAAAGAATGCCAATTATACAACTAATCTTGAACTTTTATTTGAATGATGTATTTCTTGAAAACCCCGAGGAGATTTTCTAATCAAACCGGAAAATAATGATGGTTCTACCATTAAAAGTGTTTTTCAAGTAATATTCAGTAAATGAACTCTTCTACATCTTTCTTTGAATTTGTCAAGCTCTGCACTCTAAAAAACAAGTAACGCTAATCGAATGTCGACTAGCTTAACCCTAGACTGATATACGGCCGTAGAAATGGAAAATTGCTAGCCTCTGTCTGACTCTAGAACCTAGAAAACCACAGGTTATCGGAACTTATTTTTTCTGGGTTCATTCTTCTACAGGAC